GGTATAAATTTAACGGCAAAACCCTGTGCACGCACAAATTGGTTCTGCTACTGTTCTGTGAATATGTCTCTTAAGATGAATCCGCGACGGATTTCGAAACGTCAGGAGAATAAACATATTGTCCCAGCGATCGAGTCGTCTTCTACTTCTCAATTACTTCCTGGGACTCGCATGTTCGCTTGTATTAGCAAATTATTCATCTTCTGTTTATTCAGCAGAAGTTCACTGCAAAACTAACCATTTAAGTGTGAATATTTTTTCGAAATTTTAAACTAAACATAATTTCTTCAAAAGGCAGGGGCCTTTTAATTTCAACCGGTCTTTTGCGGCACTTTCAAAGTGTTGCTATTAACGCAAACAATTTCAGATTAAGATGATTCGTAGAGATGCTATTGGGAAGCACTTTGAGTAGTCTGGACTTTCATTTTCCTGAAAAAAAATATGCACACAGGTATGGTGAGAATCTCGCCATCTTAATACCTCCCGAAAAATTTTAATTCCTGTTTTCTTAAAATTAATGAAAACCCTTTGCGCGTACCAGACAGACATCAATTGAGGTGACGCCTTAATGCCGCTTTAAACTCGACTGATTTGTTAATCTAACAGTAATAAAGCTCTTTGATGTATCCGACAGGCTTTCTTGCCGATACCTACAACAATCTTTATCTGTTGGACTTGGGCATGCAAATCGGCCTTGGCTCTTGCGGAAAAGCTCCCAGCGTATCTCTGTAATCTGTCAGCTAGCGGAAGAAAATTACAATGTGCATGTTAAGTCTATGCTTTCATTGGGTATTCAACAATCCGCAGAAAAAGCGCTGCTGCAGGGAGCACTTTATAAACCTGGCAAGAACACTGGTCGCCGTACCCTTCGACCAATGAACGACAACTCCCGAGGGTCACTCGCTGTACCCTGGCGCAACTACGCAGTGGCCATTCCATGCTCCTTCGCCAGTACAAACACCGACTCGACCCGTCCACACCCGATAGCTCCCCCGACTGCGGCGCCTCGCCGCATGACTGTCAGCATTTCTTCACCTGCAGCTCCCGGCCAGGCACCCGACTCTCCCAACTCGCCCCCCCATGGAAATTTGGCTCAAGCCGGCTGAGGTCGCGGCTTTTCTCCGTCTCCCAACTGCACC